AATGTTTAATTTATTTTATTTAATAATAAATAATAAAGAGATTATCTAATACAATGAGTATATAATAATATTGTGTATCCGAATAAAATAATTAGAATACCATCCACTCGATATTACTATTTTAGTATCATGTACCTGATATTCAAGACAATATTGGGGACCTGAGATAATAATAAAATTATCTCATATCTATTACTATTATATCGGGCACATGATAAAATTTACAAAATTAATTATTGGATACTTAGTAATAATCAATCATATCAGATACCCGATATATTTATTTTTCCCTGATAGGTATTCGATAGGTATTTGATATTATAAATATATCAGATACCCAATAGGTGCCTAATAAATATCCGATATTTAAATTTTGATCTGTGATAGGTGGTGTGTTTATTTTAGAAATTACTGTATGTATCATTTCATGTAAAATTAATACATATTTAAATATAATGATAATGATATGTTTCAAAAAAAATATTGTAATATATATGTAATATAATAAATATATAGTAATGATATATTTTTATTTGGAAATAAAGATGTAATTTGTTATAATAGGAGGGTAAAGAAGTAATATATATGTAATATAATAAATATATAATAATAATATATTTTTATTTAGAAATAAAGATGTTTATGTAATTTGTTATAATAGAAAGATAAAGAAGTAATATATAAAGAATTGAAATTCTTCTTACTTTTATTTTAAAATATTTTAAAAATCAAAATATTTTTAAATATTAAAAATAATAAAATTCTTAAAATAATTCTTAGAATAAATAAATGTTTCAATTAAATCTTAGTTGTTTTTATTAAAAAAGATAAAAGAGAAATAGTAAATTATTTTCTGAAATAATTTCTGAATATTCAAAATATATAAAAATAAAAAAAAATTTTTCAGAATTAGTTACTAATTTTGAAGAAAATTCAAAATCAATATCAGAGTTCAAAATAAATAAACAAAGGATAGAATTATTAATGTTCGAAGTACTTAAACCAGTAATAGTAATTAAAACAGGAGTAGAATCGTTAATAACAATAGTATCCAGATTTGAAATAATTGAATCAGCAGCAACATCATTAGTAGCAATATCACTAGTAATAATAGTAACAACAGAAACAACAACATCAAAGTTTACAAGCAAAAGGAGGAGAACTGAAATAAGAAGTGTAAAATAACATTCTAATAATAATATTTGAAAAAATAGCAAATAAAATATTTTAAAACAAATTTTTATTATTTTATTTATTTTAGATGACACTCTGATAACTCATAAGTAAGCATCTCATATTATAGAATATTTAGATAAAATTAACAATAGACAAATGAAAATAGAAAAAGATATTTTGGACATTCGAAGAATGTTGAAAGAAAGTAAAATGTAAGTGGAATATAATAAAATCTATAATGACAGTTTTATCAAAGTAAATATTTTATTTATTATTTTTTTATAATATCGATAATTTTTTTATTGATTCAAAATATTTTAAAAAAAAAATTTATTAAAAAAATTGTGAAAAAATCAATTAAAGAAAAAATTTACCTCAACTTTATAATATTAAAAGCTGTTGCTGTTTATTACTGTGATAAAAATTGTCTGGAAATTTTTAAAGATTGGTTAGAAAAGAAATGGATACTTTATTATGATTTAAAAATTTAAATAGAAATATATTTTTTTTAATATTTGAAAAAAAAGGTTTAAAAATTATTTAAAAATTTTTGAAAATATTTCAATTATTAAAAAGTTATTAGGATAAAGAGATTTGTTATTTTCCATATCAAGACTTCAATATTTCAAGTTTACTAAAAAAAAACTTTCATTCATAAATTTAAAGGTTGTACCTAATGAAATAAAAAAGTGAAAGAAATCATTTGTAGTTAAAAAATATTACAATTTATTATATTCAAAAATTAATAACAATGATAATATAATCTGATATGGAAGATAAGTTCTGGTTTGCATAGTCTAGTGACTAGTGTGCCAGAACTAAGTTATAAGATCAACGGATCGATCCTAACTAGTTACGATTAGTATGGATGATGATCTTTTTATAATTCAAGATTTGACAGATATTAACCGGTATCTTTACTTAAAAAAGAGGATTGTCTATATCCTTTTGAGTACCACTGTTGACCGTGATTTACCTTCAAATAAATACGATTAACTAACAACTAAAGGCAGGGAAATATGTATAGCGAACA